TGGATGGATGGACGGACGGACGGACAGATGGATGGATGGATGGATGAATGGATAGATGGACAGATGGATGGAAGGACGGATGGAGGGAGGGAGCAATGGATGGATGGATGGACGGATTGATGAATGGATGGATGGATGGATGAATGGATAGATGGACAGATGGATGGAAGGACGGATGGAGGGAGGGAGCAATGGATGGATGGATGGACGGATAGATGGACAGATGGACGGATGGAGGGAGGAAGGGAGCTATGGATGGATGGATGGATGGACGGATTGATGAATGGATGGATGGATGGATGAATGGATAGATGGACAGATGGATGGAAGGACGGATGGAGGGAGGGAGCAATGGATGGAAGGATGGACGGACAGATGGATGGATGGATCGATGGATGGACAGATGGACGGATGGATGGACGGATGGATGGACGGACGGACGGACAGACGGACGGATGGACGGATGGATGGATGGATGGATGGACGGACAGATGGATGGATGGATCGATGGATGGACAGATGGACGGATGGATGGATGGATGGACGGACGGACGGACGGACGGATGGATGGATGGATGGACGGACGGACGGATGGATGGATGGATGGATGGATGGATGGATGGCGGATGGATGGACAGATGGACGGATGGATGGATAGTTGGATGGAAGGACGGATGGAGGGATGGATAGATGGACAGATGGACGGAAGGGCGGATGGAGGGAGCAATGGATGGATGGTTGGATGGATGGATTATTGTTTCTGTGTGCAGCTTGATGTTAATAACATCTGACGGCTGCAGTCCTCTTATTTAACCAATCAGAGAGCCTATCAACCTTTTTTATCCTAACCCCACCAACAGTGCATGGAATTTTGAATAGAAAATACAGCCTAGAGTTAGCAGCTGCCTCACAGACAGTCTTCTTAATCGAAAATCAGACCTGATGCTTTGAGTCAGTCCATCCCCCGACAAACCCCCCCCCCCCCCCCCTCCCCGAATCATTCACGTTGGTGAATAAAGGGCAAGCTAATGAAATCAAGACAGCTGCTCACAGGAGCCATAAAATGTCTGCTTTTGTACCAGAGCTAATTGTTCATCAGGGCTGTAGTAAAGATTACTGTGGATATATACGAAGAACCAAATCCTTTAAATGGCTCTTTTATTGTTCTCCTACAATCCCCACCCTCATTTTAGATATGCCGCTGCCGGGCCCCCTTGTGAAATGACTCTAAGCCATTGTTCCTGTTTTATCCTGATGACACCGAAGACTTGTTAGAGCTGCCTTTGATAGAGATGCCCGGCAAAATTTGAACACTGTGTTATCAGGGAGACGGAGAATTACAGAGGCTGGTATGAGAATGAAACCACTCCATCCTCTGTCTCCATCTCTCTTTGGGAATAAAATACTGATAATAACAACATGCAAGGATTGTCGGCTTATCAGGCTCCATTGAACCACAAGTTTAAAAAAAAAAAAATACTTCAAGGAGAGCAAATTTCAATATGGAGCCCTCTATATTTACAATGTATGTCTTCTAAAATGATAAATTGCCACTTGTATTTTCACAGTGTGATACAGTGATTCACATATTTCTGAATATGAATACACAGTACCTCTAGATTATCGTTAATAACCTCCTGAAACGAAGAATGAGAGAGCAGTTTAATCAGTGCACTCATTTATAAACTCAGCTGTAGACTGAGGGGCACAGTAGAGTACAGGGAGAACTAAGAGATGGTTTCCTCCTGTTCAGCTTTGTCACCAGCTCTGATGCCCCCTTCAGGGCAGAACATTCCAAACCACAGAGGTCAGCAGCATGGAGATCTCCAATTTTTATAGACGGATGAAACCACTCCAGAACTCCACCAGGTTGACGCTTGGGAAATTTTAGTGTTTAACTTTCAGTTCCTGTTTTGAAAGTTGCACAATAGGACGGACACATGATTTTAGGATGCCTCAACATGTTTTGGAAAATCAGAAACCCTCAGCTATGATTATTGTAAGAGGCATCATGTTCCCTTTAACTGTCTGATGTATGACTTTAGCTTCAGGTTTTCTCTGCTCCGATGTTCTTTTCCTTTGAAATCTAAAACCTTTAAAGTAACTTTCTTTTAAACTTCATGTATTTAATTTATCTTTTGATTAGACGATTATTGGCGGCAAAATTGCAGACAGTACTGGGCCTGATTTTTAGTAGAGAGACATTTCTTGACACTTGGAAACTAATGCAATCATAAAAGTATGTTTATGCTCTGTACCAGCTTATCTGCCTGGGTATCTCCAGCACCCTTTGGGCAAATGGCAGGTCACACCCTGGACAGGGCACCAGCCAATCACAGAGAGTCGGAGATTTAAAAAATATATATTCACATATGTACACTTCAGAGAGACACCTGTTAACCAAACAGGTCGTGTTTTTTTTGACTGTGGGAGGAAGCCAGGAGAGAAAACCTGGAGAGAAGCCATGATCTTCCTGTTACAAACTGCCATTGTGCAACCCCAAAAATAAGCATCTGATTTTTTCTTTATGATTCAATGGTGAACGAGAGAAATAAATGAAAAGCAGCTGAAGCTGTAGCTGGGTATTGTGCACCAACTTAGGTGCCGTCAAGATTAGTTCCTCCAACTTGTGTCACCTTAGCTAAAACTCTGCATTTACTTTAAGATATACTATCTTGCACAAAAATTGCTAAACTAATTTAAATCTGATGGCAAAACAGCAAAATAATTTAATTTGATTTGACATATTTTCCTACCTTGGCTCTTTTCTACTTTTTTTTTTATACAGCATTTAAAAAGGTACATCAGCTCCACCTTAAACAAAAAATTGAAACCAAGTGGAAATGTCAGTATTTTTGAGATACCACTGTGGTCTGACTCATTCTGCCAATTCCTAGCCAACACATGTTTGTGGTCTATATGGATTTTACTTGGGTAACTGAGTTCTGGTTCCTTTAATGACATTCATTTGGCCTGACTAACATAAAACCCATATTGGAGTTTTTTATTTTTAAGATGGATCTCACATGGGAATGAAGAAAATCAGATCCATTTGGATCCAACTTTTTCTGTTAAGTTATCCTGCATTAAACCGATGAACATGGAAGAAAGAAAGAAAGAAAGAAAGAAAGAAAGAAAGAAAGAAAGAAAGAAAGAAAGAAAGAAAGAAAGAAAGAAATCCTCTCTTGTACAGGCAAATTGCTTTGACTAACCAGTTTACCGACCATATTTACATGATCTGCCTATATGGGATTGTGTGTGTAAGCCCCACTGAGGTGACCTAAGCGCACATCTTAATATCCTTTATCTTCTGTTGGTATCGTTGCTCCTCTGGAGTTGCAGATATAATCAGAGGCTTCCCTAATATCCTCACAAGGCTTCTGGAAGCGATCATGCTGCATTGCTTGGCTATTTATCATATGAGGATCTCAAGCAGAAGGGAGATAGTTGGTGTGTGGATCGGGTCTGAGATAGATCTCATTGAGGATGAGCGTGTTTTATGTTTACTGAGAGTTTCTCGCGCGTCCAATAAAGGGCTGCAGTCTGACAAGAAGCGAGCAACCAGCCAGCAGCGTGAAATCTGCATATCGATTGCAGAGACGCACACGCACGGAGAAAACAACCTCGCGCGCGCATCCCAGCGCGCATCCAGCTCTCCGCTCGTAAAGGGGGCGTGTGGGACTGGCACGGACTCAGACCCTCCCTCATTTGCATCAGTCAGTGGAAGAAGCGGAGAGCGAAGACGCACTGAGGAGCTCGAACCGGGAAGAGGAAAGTTATTTAAATAAGATTTTGATTTTGTTTTTTTATTTGCTTTAGAGATATTTGGGAACTGATCTCGTCTCCCGTGGCGGTGGTCAGGGTTTTAGCTGTAACAGAGACGGTGAATGAGAGCTGGAGATATCGGCTCTCATCGCGGGGAGAGGACTTGTCTGCGCGCCGAGCTACAGAGCGGCTCCAGCGGGTAGAGGCTGCGCGTCTTTGCGCAGAGCTGCCCCCGGAATCAGCGGGCGGTTCGAACTAGAGGAGAGAAGAAGTTGGGCTCACTTTTGGAAGATTTTTTTTCTTTTTTTCTTGTTTAAGGAAACCGGAGCCAAGCTTGTCGGATTGTGCACTTTGTGCGTTTCTGCTCTTGTTGGAGGCGGAAAAGGACTGGATGCCTGCTGCCGGTGCGCGAATCCTCAAGAAGCAGGTGAATGCAGATGTTTTATCATTTTTATTTATTTATTTTTATCTTTCTTTAGTTCATGTTGCGGTTGAAAGAAAAGTGTGAAAAAACACACATATATCCATGAATTTGGATTTCAAACCCAAATCTAAAGTAACATATTTAATGTGTTAAATGGCAAATATGTCTATTGAATACAATTTGCTATAATTATCTGTCAAAAAAATCCACAGACATGTATAAAGTAGGTGAGGGTTTCAAATTCCCCTTTTGTGCATTTGTGATCCAGCTGTGAACTACTGCAGGCTACTGAAACACGCTTCAGTTGATTTCATCTATATACCAGAGCGACGGTCTAATGGTGTCACATTTAGTAGTTTTACTTTGTTTTATTTTTTAACAAACAGGCGCTATAGTGCTTAAAATAAAAATTCACATTGAGAGAGAGGGAGGAAAGGGAAATAAATGTAGACCTCTGGCTTCAGAGCAGAAAACAGGAACATGTGATTCACTTCCACTGCAGCTGTAGTATCTACAATAGAGTCACAAAGTGGAGGTTATGGAGAAATCATTGCAAACAATGAGTGAAACTGCTCTTATTTTGGAGAATTCCTTTCAATAAATAGTTTGTTCATAGTTGTCAGCGTGTTTTTATTTATATATATATGTATATATGGCTGCGGCCCAGACGAAAGAAGTCCTGTTGAGTCACTATATCTTCCATTACTGTCTGACTGCTTTTTTTTTTTTAGATAGGGATAGTGGGAGGGGGGAAGAAAATAGAGAGAGAGAGAGAAAGAGAGAGAGAGAGAGTCATGTCACTTAACGAAGCGCCTTTGCTCAGTGGCTCAGTGTAACTCCGCTTACATATAAGGACTCTTGCAGACACAGGTTGGCCATATGAAGCCAAACACTATTCCCAAATCATATAGAGTAAGAAGCGCAGGGCGCACGCGTAAATAAAGAATTTACAATCTTCTTTTTGTTTTGTTTGTGCGCCTCACAGCCAAGGATTGTATCCATTATCCAACGGAGTAAGGGCGCAAGGTGGAGGGACGGAGGACTCGCATCTTTCTGCGGAGTGGAAATGGAAAGGCTGGCCCTGGAGAGGGGAGAGCAGCCGGCGGAGGAGAGGAGACGGAGCAGGAGCTGAGTGACAGGATGCCCGCGACCTGAGCGCTCAGCACCGCTGATACCTTTTTTATTTTTTTAACTTTTTTTTTTCTTTTGCTAAAAAACAAAAAAAAATAACACTTAACAAAGGAAACACATTGTAAAACAAAGAGCTTTGGGGAAATTGAATAATATTTTCACAATTCTTTCCTGGAGTGCTATTTTTCCTTTTTATTTTTTCTTCTGATTTTGGAGGAGACAAAACAAGGATGCATTGTGGATTAGTTTTTGTCCTGTTTATGGGATTCCTCCTGGTGCTCGAGGCTTTTAAAAACGGTAAGTGTGACATCTGATATCTGTATAAATAAAGCTTTTATGTACCCAGCAAAGCCACTAATCCTCGTGTTTTTCCTAAAGATTAGCCCCCTCTGATCTGTGCTGATCTTTGGGCAAACTCTGACTTCTGCCTGGAAAATGCCCAAAGCTCACGCGCCATGATATAAAGTTTCAATTTAATGAAGTTTGAATTAAAAACACATCTAAACAAGAACTGTGAACCTCATATTGATAGTTAATTTTTTTTTTGTTTCTTTGCAATTGAAGGTGAATCTTTATATTTAAGCCTGCATAAAATAATGTTTACTATCAATAGCCTGCGAATCTGACTAGGATGCAGTTTAAAAAGTTGGTGCATTAATAGATCCAAGCACTTTTTTTTTGCATTTGGGACAAAAAAAAGATCAGAAGAATCATGTTGACGCCAGAGACATTTATAAATAAATATATAGCTGCAAAAAGTGCCCCTTTTAAAATAGAATGCCTATTTTTAATGATGAAACGCGCTGTCAGGAGGAGGGAAGTTTCGTTGAAACAAGCTGCAGATCAGCCTGACTTCAAAACCAAAACTTTCCAGAGAAACGTCTGTGCGCTCAGACGCGGGGTGATGATTGCCTCTCCAACTAAAACTGCGTGTTTATTTGAATATCAAACACAAAAGGCGCTGTACCTTCCCTCCGTTCACTGGCTTAACCACGCGCATGTGGCAGAATGGGGTTATCTAATAGAAATATGCGCTCATAATGAATAATTTGTTGGCCTAATTCTTTTCCTTTTTAAATTATTAATCATTGCTTTTGATTGAGCATCACGCAATGTTCCACCTACTGGAAGTATAGTCAGTGTTTCAGTAACAATGAACAAAATCGATCTAAAAAGGAAAAAAGAATAAAGAGTTTTTCTAATAAAATTATTAAGATATGGATTCCTTATAGCATTATTTTGTATTTTTCTTATTTATTTATTTTTTGCTTCCTAAAATCTTAATTTCAAATGGGCTAATCCAATTAGAGGTTAGTTTTTTTGTTTTTAGGTTGTTTTTTTTTTGTTTTGTTTTTATCATGTAGGCTCATGAACAGATCAGTTATTGAATATATCAACTTTAGAGAAGTTAAAACTTCTTAATGCTTGTGGGTGAGTTGGAGAAGAAAAAAAAATGTAGGTTGAAATCAGCTTTAAGTAAGATAAACTTTCTCCCTTTGTTGCAAAAGATTGGCACATCTTAGGTGAGGGGTTCAAGCAAAATGTTAACGCGCCTTTCTTTTAAAAAATAGACTTTAAACGATTTAAAGTTCTTTTAGTGAGAGAGAAACAACTGTTCCTCTGTTGTTTTGCCAATAAACTATCTTATCTTAGTTTACCAGATTATAATTAGGACGCTTTTTGTTAAAACATATTGGAGTTTATCTGTCCCAAAAGGATTTGGTCCAATTATCAGTTCCGACGCTTGTTTTTACGCACAGTTTTGGATTTAATTGAGATGATTGTTTATGGTTAAATGATAACACCGGGGCTGTTTTTGCTCAACAAGCATTTTAGTATCTGTGTTACTAGAGTTGCCTTTTCCCTCCCACCTCTCTGTAGATAAATGCGGTGGCAACATCAGAATCTCCAGCGCGAGCTACCTCACGTCGCCAGGTTACCCCGTGTCCTACCCCCCCTCCCAGAGGTGCGTGTGGGTCATCTCGGCGCCTGGTCCTCACCAGCGGATCCTTATCAACTTCAACCCGCATTTTGATCTGGAGGACCGAGAGTGCAAGTAAGTGATGAGAAACGCGCGCGCGCGCAGTTTATACTTTAAAATGTATAGTTTTTGCATCTAAGCTCCATTTCAGACGTAAAACCAAATGCAGTTCTGTGTTCAATCACAAAGCATATATTCCAGTCATAAGTGCGGCTGATGTGTGTTTCTGTGAGACTCTCCCTCCCAACTCGCTTTCCTTCTCCTTATTGCACGTCAAACTGCGCCATCTAGCGATGGAAAGCTCCAGCAATCTGTAGAAATGATCCTCCTGCGGTGAGACGCAAGGATGAAAGAATGTCTCCTCCATGCTGTTCGGTTTTGGAAAAGTCCTTCCCTTTTGCGTTTTTTTTTGTGCTGTGAAGTCAGCGGCTGTGATTTTGCAGAGTAAAAGTTGATCAAAGAAGCATATTGACGTGACTTTTTGTAAAAGTGGAAATCAAATCTTGGAGCATATTCTCATTACTTTGTAGATGCATGTGTTCATGGCTTAATTAACTATTTAATTAACTTTTGATATCAGTGTTGGGACTTGAGTATCTATTAGTGTCAGTTTTAAAATAAAGGATGGGATAATTTGAGTGGGTTGCATGAGAACCCCAAAAAATAAATAAATAAACAGTTGAACCAGCTTTATCACAATTTCAGGTTTATTATCATTTCCATTTCACATATTTTCATCCAAGGAAATCATGGTATGTTTGCCAACAGCTGCTGCATCTAAAGCTAATTACCAATTCAAGATTCCTATTCTGTGTTACATTAATTAGCTTTTCTGTTTTACCTTTTCTAGTAAATCAGGTCTAAAAAAAACCCTTAATACTAAGGATTGTCAAACACAGGAGTGGGTGACGTTAAACCGAAGAGAGATCAATTGATATGTTAATTAAGATTTAGAAAACCTTTGTTGTATTTTTGTAAACACACTCTAAAAGCAATATTTTAAACTGTTTTTGGGATATTGCTGGCTAACAAAAGAAGCCAAACGCCCCCCTCCCATTCCAGAGGGGTGGACTGTTTCAACTGTTTCGTCTGTTTCAATTTGCATGTTTTCAAAACAAAAACAAGGTTTTGTTGGGCTACTGTATAAAACCTTGTACCCAACGCTATTCCTGACATTTTCAATTGAAAAAAGCTTCCTGGATGGGAAGCGAAATGGGTGGACAAAACAACCGTACATTCAGAAAGTTAAAAAAACAAACAAAATCATAATATATAAAATGGTCAAAAGTGGACTTAAATGTTCTAGAGAAAAACAGATAAATTACATGTGGTTGTAGAAGGAGAGGCTCGCTCAAGACAGCAATTATATATGAACCGCTTTAGCCAAACTTGATAAAAACACCCTTTGAAGACAGGTTTCTCTGTGACAGGTGGTAACTGATCCTTATTTGACTTGTAAGCCATGAGCTCCTGCATCAAGCAAAAGGCTAAGCAGCCGACCTATTGTCAGGCAGGTAGTCGGAGCCACCGAAACCAGAGACAGTGGGTAATGTGATGAGGCTGTGTCAGCGTGGATGCCCCGAGGTGAGCTTTGCTGGGCTCACTGCCTCGCTTTGATTGCCTGTCTCTCTGTGTCTCTCTGTGTGTCTGTGTGTGTGTGTGTGTGTCGGCCCTGTTCTGTCTCAGCTGTTTGTTTACGCTGCAGGGCTCCGGAGAACGCAGAGCTTTTCTGGATCCTCTTACTGTATCCCCGCTCCACCCAAAATTGGGACCCTACGCTTCCTTTGTACTCCTTGAATGGTCCCAGTATACACTGGCAGCAGCTTCTCTTTTTTTTCCCCCAAACCTGGGATTTAAATCCCACTTTAACCTTTCTTTATAGCTGCCAGAGATTTATGGCAGCCTGTGAATGCTGCTGTCTTTTAGCAGCTGGATCTTTGACACTTCCTTTGTTTCCAGCGTCAGGCCTGTTGTGGGGTGGGGGGGTGTTCACTGTGAATGAAGTCCAATATGTAGAAACAGAGGGCGAGGAGGGGACAGGAGGAGGAAGAAGGGTCAATAACAATGCCTGTGTTAATCTAATTAGTCAGGAATGAAGATGTTGAGCATGCTAGAGGAGGCATTAAGTTCCTCTAGGCCTCTACAAAGTGAGTTTGCTCCTGGTTTTTTAAAGAAGGTTGGGTTTATACATTAGTGAGTCTTTGATTTTTACACTTCAGCACTACCACTGCTCTTTCCTTCAGGAGACACATTGTCAGCAGAACCTGGCTATATCTGGAGATCTCCCCATTTTAATCGCTCCATTTAATGCTTATATTAGCAGTAAAAAGTATTTAAAATGCATGTTTCGATTGCCCAAGATGAACAGCGATTAGGTACTTGCAATAATCAGCATTTTACTTTAGATGAAATACACATTCGGAGCAGGCATTAGTAGCAGCGCTGTGGTCCGAAAGGTTCCTAACCACTTGTTTTTCAGGCTCCATTAGTAAATGAGCCAGGCAGATGGCTGCGCAACCTGCCTGGAAATGATGTATTTGGGCCTTTAAAGCTTTCACCCAAAAATATGGCGACTCCCCTCTTTTTAATTTCATTTTCAATATTGGTAGTGGAGTGTTTTACATAGAGCTTTGGTCATACTTTGTGACCCATCGGAATTTGTCTTTAGATTTAGTTTTTTAAGAAGATGAATCACTTTTTCCCCTCTTAAGTATTTGAAGATTGTAGTATAGTAAGAATAAACATTAAAGGAATAGTACACCCAAAACATGATTAGCCTTCATTTTCTACTCACCCCCATGCTGAACAACACTCTGGAGTACTTTTTTGATATCTCAAATGCATCTGGAGATCTGGGAGGCTTCTTGCTGTCTGCTGACATTCAAATAATGGAGGTCTATGGCGCCCGAGGCAGAAAGGTCCATAAAAGTCCACAAAAAACGTATCAATATTCTTCCATACTGCTCGTCCAATGTATTCCAAGTGTCCTGAGTGGGTAGCGTCCATAATTTACTCGAAACAAAGCCATTTAGAATGTTTTTAGAGCATAAACAGTAGTGTATAGGATTTCCTAAAAGCGCGTTCACGACGCTACGGAAACCGCGGCAGACCAAACCAGATGAAAGTGCGCATTCAGCGTCTGCTCTGCCAATAATGCAAGCGTAGAAGAAGAAATGTGCTGTTTACCTGTGCAAAGAAAGAAACAACGAAAGAAAAATGTCTGAGGACTTCAGTGTTGAGGAAGAGCATGAGTTCTTTGCTGAGCTGAATGCGCACTTTCGTCTGGTTTGGTCTGCCGCGGTTTCCGTAGACTCGTGAACGCGCTTTCAGGAAATCCTATACACTACTGTTTATGCTCTAAAAACATTCTAAATGACTTTGTTTCGAGTAAATTCTGGATGCTACCCACTCAGGACACTTGGAATACATTGGACGAGCAGTATGGAGGAATATTGAAACGTTTTTTGTGGACTTTTATGGACCTTTCTGCCTCGGGCGCCATAGACCTCCATTATTTGAATGTCAGCAGACAGCAAGAAGCCTCCCAGATCTCCAGATGCATTTGAGATATCAAAAAAGTACTCCAGAGTGTTGTTCAGCATGGGGGTGAGTAGAAAATGAAGGCTAATCATGTTTTGGGTGTACTATTCCTTTAATCCAAGGGATTATAGTTATTGTCATGCTGCAAGGTGAAAATCTCCTATAATCTTTATTTAACTCAATTTGTTTTTCCGAACTATGATCACCTTCTCTGTTCGTGCTAAAAAAAAAGCATTCCTGTAGCATAATTCTGCCACCACCGTGTTCTACTATGTAGATGGTGAGTTGAGGGCCTTATTTTTCTTTCAAACATAGTGTTTCTTATATTTGGTTTTCTTTCCTTTTGCACTTTTGGAAAAAAAAAAATATGATGTATATCTTACAAATATAGACCACTTTTTGTTTGCAAAACCAAAGTCCTCAAACATACACAGATGTTTGTTGTTATAATGTGAAAAAAAAAAGCATAGAGAAGCTTAGGAGGTATTAAAACTCAACAAAGCATTGCATGTATCAGCTGTACAGTTGACTGACATGAGAGCTGGACTCATCAGACTCCCCCGTTGCAGCTCCGCTCACCAAATCAGCCCTTATATAATGGAAACTGATGAGATCCAGAATGGCTTCCTTATCTGATAGACTGCTAACATTGGTGGGGGCAGAGAGGAAGGCAGTTGGGCTCACAATGCATGCTTCAGTGGACTGCCATACAATCTAATTAGTGGGCCAATGGAACACACATGCACCACATGTTCCTCCTACACAGGTCTTATCAGCAAACCAAACAAGAACCACTCAAAGTCGAGCTTGTAAAAAAAAAAAAGGAGGAAAAACAAGTCTATATGGAGTAAAGCCTGGCTACCATGCTGCTGTTGCATGTGCACCCTTGACAGGTTTGTTTAGGGAAGTGCAGAGGCCTGTATCCTGAGAGCAGCAGAAGGAAAACACTCCATCACTGAGATAAGGGGACTAAGTGAGCCTTGTGATTCTGAATGCATGACGTGTTTACCTTTCACACGCCGTTGTAGACTTTCACGGAGTGGAGTTTTCAGGGAGCTGCCCCCCATCGCCTCTCGCGGCTAATGAAGTTTGAGGGAAAAGGCACAGGCCGCATCAAGGCAAATATTTGAAGTCAATTTGCTCAGAAAATCAGCGGAATGAGCTGGCTGAGCAGAGGTGAAAAAAGACAACAAAGCAAACAGATACGTTTGTAGTCCATCACTATTCTATGCATTTATTCTTTGTTCCATGGGGAGCTGATAAGACCTGTCAGGCTGAACTGGCAGCATCTGAAGTTAGAATGGAAACATGGATGAGAATCCAAACAAGTGAAAGAGGGGTACACCTGATAGGCAATTCATCTTTTTAAAAAAAAAAGGAATACTATAGCTTGCTTTCTTTCTGTTTAGAGGTGTGATAAAGTTTGAGTTGCTGAACTTTTTCCAAACCCCCCCTCCTCTTCCCTTGTTGACTTGAAAAGAAGAACGAATACTTCAGAACCTGCAGGTTCCTCACAAACACTATGAATCTTTGAT